AGCATATGGGTTGTTGGCGGAGAAACCGCCGATCAGGTGCCTGCTAACGGACATGGGCAAGACTTAAAAAGACTTTGTACGCCTTTCGGGACCGAAAGTACTCACACGCCTCGAGCAACAGTCAGGCACATAATCCGGAATATCGATGGTCCCCCTTTCGCACTGTCGCCTACAAAGGCGAGAGGTCAAATATTGTTTCAGAGATCCCCTTTCCATATCATTCTTATCTCTGGTCTGACACGAGACTCGCAGCGGTACTATGCTGCGTTATGCCACTGAATGCATATTAACCACCAACTTATCGAGTTAAGGGCCATTTCTCACCCACGTTTGCTTTACCTGCAGTAGGTGTGCTAACTCATGAAGTGTCCACCGAAATTCCGAAATGCGTCTCCGTTTCGAAAAGATTACCTAAGTAGGGTTGCAGTATTAATCACCGTGCAGCATAATTCTGTAATAATTCAGTTATCTCGAAATGACAGCTTTCGAACGAACTTCTTCCCGGTCGCATGAAAAAACCATATGTGAAAACTGTCTACTTTGGCAGCATGAATTTTGCTCAGTGATTTTCGATACCGTTAAAAATTCAATTACACTTCATAGAAAACATACACCAAAAATATTCGTCCTCTTGCTCATTCGGTAGAAGATGACGTCTTGTTCCAATTTTTTACTCGAAGGAATGGTATCATTCGGTTTTAAAACGTTTCTAATTATGAGATTTTTTAAAACCATGAAATGTCCGATCATAAAACATCGTGTCTCTGCACTTGCTAATGTAGCTGGTAAAGTTTACAATATGGCTCAAATTCACAGCTAAATTTTATAAACCCCATGTGGTCTCCTCTTAATACCTCAGACAAATGTGCGGTTTTCCGTACGCGGAAAATATATGGCTTGTAGTTTGGAAACTCCAAATACAAGTTTAACGGCAGGTCTTACTCGAAATTATTCGGGAATTGTAAAAGTTTTTGAAAACCGAATTATATCCTTTCTTCGTTCGAAAGCTGGCATCGCGAGGTAACTGAATTATTATAGACTTATACTGCACGATGAGTAATTTTAATACTTTACTTAAGTAATCTTTTCGAAACGAAAACGCATTTCAGAATTTCGGTTAACCTTTCATGACTTAGCACACCTACTGAAACTTGGGCTAGGTCATCTGTCCGGGGGACGTCGGCGTATGGTTAAACTCCCCCTTCACTAAATCGCCTCGAGTGCAGTGACCCAATCCCAGGCACATGTTGCAAAGTAGAGCCTCTTGCGACTACTTGTACGTGAGCACCAACTGCAGCCAGGGTTTTCGGCCAATGTAGTCGTTACTGAAACGGTCAGCTGCAGATTTTGGTTCGTCTAAAAGAGAGAGTACGAGACCACCACCACCACCACCACCACCACCACCACCACCACCACCACCACCACCACCACCACCACCACCACCACCACTGAATTCGGTCCTCAACCATCGTCCACAAATGACAGTTGCTAACAATTTGTACACCATGTACACATGCGCAAATGACAATCGCACACTGGAATCGCTTATCGGCATCTCAACTGACACTTAAGATGCAGTGTGTGGCTCAAATTCTGATAAGTGATCACGGACATTTAGACGAGGGATATTTAAGTGCAAATTTAATAAAAGCGCTATTTTCAACTGTTATTCTACTTTTGTTGTTTTATTTATTCACGTGCTTGCTTGGAGAGACCTTATGTGCATCTAAAACTCAAATTTACTCATTTACGACGATTTTTCACGTTTTCGGAGTCTCTGCTTTTCTAAAAAGCCGTTACTTTTAAATAACATACGCCGACGACTGAGAGGAAGTAATTATTTCCCACACTACTACATCTAGGGGATCCGGCGATCGAACTCCTACATCGACGCTTAACCGCTGCTATCACGCACACGTACCCAACCGCTAAGACTGGTTTTCACAAGCACTTCACTTCTTCGCCTTGAAGGTGGGGGTAAACTGCCTTTTCAAACCTCTTCAGTGTGCACCTATGCCCTCACTGGCTCCTGTGGGGCAGGTTATGTTGGTCGAAAAACTAGGCGTCTATCTAAGCGGATGCGAGAGCACCATACAGCCTGGCTAAATCAAAGTGGGAAAAAGTCCGTCTCTAGAGCAATTGTAGCTCACTTGGTTGACAGCGGCCACTGAGTGGACGTCAACCAAGCATTCTGAGTCATCTATGGAGTGTTGGCGAGACACTCCAATTTCCGGCGTTAGCGAATACTTGCGACGACAGAGGCAATGACCATACGGTTAACCAACCCAACCTTGTGCTCGCATAAAGCGCTAAAGCTCCCCTGGGCAAATACACCCGCCATGTCGCGTTAAAGCGATGAAACAGGGACATCTAATCTCCAGACACCTTCCCCTCCCCCTCCTTAAGCTCCTGACAGAACTAGAATCCGACCTCTGAACGCCCCTCAATCCTCTCCCCTATATTTTCTTTTATTGGCTGTTTCGCTTTGGCTATTCCGCCCTCCTTTATGTTACTGCACAGGGCTGATGATGATGATGATGATGATGATGATGATGATGATGATGATGATGATGATGATGATGATGATGATGATGATGATGATGAATAATCGTATGCGTGCGTTTGTTGGACTTGACTTCGTAGATTAATTTTAATATCGCCTTTATGTTTTCACTTCACTCCAAATCGTTCATTTTTAATTTGGGGTTTTTATCCATTCATTTGGGACCGGGTTTCTAGTAATTGAAGTTGTCTTGTGGATTCAGGCACCATTCAAGAGATAGCACGCGCACTGTCTATGTCATGCCTACCCACGTTTTTCTAGGTCACTCGTGCAACAGCTGAAACAGCCCAGCCCAGTTCATCTTGCAATCAAGCGATTTCGACTCGTGATCACCTGATTCATGAGCCTACTCTGTTAGATAAGCATACACGTCCTTGTGCCAAATCAGAAGGCTTGACGTAGAAAAGATAACACTGGAGGCCAAGACGAGGCTTCAAGCACACAAGAGGGCGATTGTGCGTGTGCCAAGAAGGTCAATGCGTAGACCCTGTCAGCGTGTTCGCACGCTCAAATGACATTCGGGACGCGAAGTAGCCTCACCAACACCTTCGGACCCGTGAAGAAGGAGACACGATCGCTGTGACAAGAGCTTTATTCGCTTGACGCTTCGGATTCCTGCTCGAACTCATCATCAGAGGCAATAGCAGATACGGGTGGTTCATGCACAAGGGGCTGAAGTATTTATAGGATGTAGTCGTCATGCTGCCGCGTACCTGTGGATATTCACGCCCCCCCTCTTCACCAGAGTTCGCTGCACTGGGTGTAATGACTGTTTGATGGACAACATTCGCGTCGTTAATCGTCGCAATTTCATCACGTGTGATGATTGCTCGACCATCTGATCCACCGACCCTGGCGTTGGTGATGAGGGGGGAGAGCGGTATGCGGCAGCATGGCGGCTGCATCCTATAAATACTGCAGCCCCTTGTGCATGAACCACCCGTATCTGCTTTCGTCTCTGACGATGGGTTCGGACAGGAAACCGAAACGACAGGCGAATAAAGCTCTTGTCCCAGCGATCGTGTATCCTTCTTCACAACTGCTTCCTGGGACTCGTCTCTTCACCTTCGGATCCATCTCCTTTGACACACGAGCAGCACACCTCCACACCAAAAGGCACCATCATCACCATCGCCGACACCAGCAATACCACTAATGTCTGCCATGAAGACAGCTCGCCCAACTGTTTTAACTGTAAAGTCGCGTCCCAGTCCAGATTTCCCCTGGTTTGGCATTGTACCCACACCAACGTACAGACTTTCTTAACCACCGCAGTTAGATATGAGATCCGGTCTCCGGCCAACGTCTACCTCACCTGATCATACTGTCCAAGTCACTCGGACAAGGCATTGGCCTATTCGGTCACACGCGCATACGCAACAGTGATCACTGAAATGGCCGACCCCATAACTACATACCTACCCATACAGGTTTCGGGGCTGGGGAGTGGGGAGGGACTCAGATCTCATTGAAGTGACTACGTTAAGAGGAGGCCACTGCTGTCTAACACGCCTTCTAGAGGGACGCCGGGTTATTCTGTCAACTGGCAGCATTCGAAGTCACTACATCTAGACCGTCGTGATAGTTCTAACTGCGTCGAGTTAGTTATGCTGAAAAGCTGACTGAGTTGCAGTGAGGAAACATGCCTGTGCGCTGTTCAATCCAAACTCCTCGACAGACAAATGAGTAACGTGAGTGACGTAGCGGGAGCCTCTGCCTAACACACGTCAAGCGCGGCTTGGCAGATACATGCCAAGAGTCAATGCGGTCTCCGTTACCTCCCATCGCAAGATCGGAGCAGCTCATTTAAGCGGCGCCATGCCATCAACACAACGAAGACTTAACTAGCTGCAGCACCTAGCTGAGTCTTAAGTGGGTCAGGTGCAGTTACGTCGCCCTCCCCCATTGAAGTTAACAAACCCCAGCCACCGGTGGTAATAGGAGTTTTTACAGGTGGAGCGGGGAACGCACAGGCGACGAGGTCAAGTGGTTGTATGCAAAAGAACAGCTATTGGGAATGCGCGGTTGTACTTGGGGTGGTTGATAAATAGTTGCCCTGACCCCTAACCCCAACCCCTAACGTTAACCCCCAACTCCTAACCCTAACCCCCTAAACCCAACCCCAACAGTATTATGTCTATCAGGTGGGGTCACATAGCCATATCTTACCCCTAAGTCTTTGCGTACTTTGGTCCTGTGTTAACTGTGCACACTTGTCTGCACACCAGCCTACCCCACATCTGAAGACAGCGAGCGTAACACTGAATTTCTGCGTGCTCTCCACGAACGAGGTCAGTTAAGCCCGCTAGTCAGCACCAGCAACACCGATCGCTCTGCACCGACGCAATTGACAGGCGAATTTTAAGAAGTCATTATGCCGACTGGCAGAGTTTATAATCCATTTGCCCTAGGGCCATTTATATGCAAATGACAGGCCTTAAGCAGACCTGTACAGGATGATTTCCTTTCGGTCCGAGCGAACATGCAGGTATTCGTGCTCAACGTGGCTCACGAAACTGAAATAAAAACAGAAGAAGAACAGTGAGGAGGGCGATCAGAGCAATCTGGCAGCCGGAGCTACCGCCAACCAGAACACCAGTGTCAGCATTAACAGAAAAAGACATCAGCAACAACAACAACAACCACCAAAATAGTAACCTGACTGGAAGGCTTGCTGGTTCCGATACTTTGCCGCGACAGCCAAAAGGGAGCCGGAGCCATTTAGGCTCCTGCCTACTACGACAAGTGTTTGGAAGCCCGAATAGAGGTTTCTACTTATGAGAAGGTAGGTCTCTGAGTTGATAAACTTACGACTCACATGACGAAGAACAGTCGACATCTAGGGGCAGCTTGCAAGTGTGAACTCCAACAGGCTGCATTCAGAAGGCTGGGGTGGAGGGGGCCTAATTTACAACACTCTTCACAAATAGACCACAGTCAGTGACCGATCTCATGAAATGTTAACCGAAATTCTGAAATGCGTTTTGGACTAGGACGGATTATTTAAGTGGGGTCGTAATATTTATTATCGCGCAGCATAATCCCTTGATATTTCAGACACGCCAGGGCGTTGGCTTTTGAATCCACTCCTTTTCGGCCGCCTGCGAAATCTGTACGCTGTAAAAAGTGACTATTAACGTAGTATGCATTTTCCATTGATTTTTGATGTCCCTATAAATCCAAACATATGTTATACAAAGCACAAATAAAGCCATTCTTTCTTATACTTATTTGGTAGAAAATCACTTCCTCCTCTTCTTGTTCTTCTTCTTCAAGTTTTTTTACTCGAAGTAAGGATGTATTTGGGTTTTAAAAAGGTTTTTGATTAAGGGATTTTTTGAGACCTTGCAATCCCCATTCAAATAGCATCGTATCCATCCGTTTATTAATGCTCCTTATGAAGTGCACAACACAGTCCATATCCATCGCAAGAGTTTATGAGCCCTGAATGATATCCGCTCAATGACATAGAAGAATCCTTGTCCTTGTAATTACACAGGACAGACTGGACGCATGCTCGGATCGCGCATACACGAACATAAGCTGGCTGTACGGCGAGGCGAGGCACTATCACAAGGGGCCGCCCACACCTACGAAATGGGTCACGAGTTTGACTTCGCAGCCACCAAAATAGTCGCCCACGCCGGAAACAAGACAGGCCGAGAATTGATTGAAGCCTGGGCCTCGGATGAGAACTCGGTCAATCGATTTATCGATCTGGCGCCGGCGTACAAAGCCCTTCGTTGTCACCTCCAGTCGTGCGACGTCGGTCGATGATTGGGCCTACGTGCCTTATAACTGTCGCCTATCCTGTTTCTGCCACTACCTCTGACGATGGACTCCTGTACGAGTCTGAAAGCTCAGGATAATAAACGAATTGTTCCGGTGCTCGACTCTTCTTCTTCATAGAAGAATCTTTAATTTTCCTTGCATGAAAAGCATACATCTTGTAGACCAAAAATCTTAAACACAAGTGAAAGGGCCGACCTTTCTCAAGATTATTCGGCAATAAAAGAATTTTCTAAAATATAAATACACCCCTCCGTCAGTCATAAGCTCTGAAGAAGAATTTCTTTTCTCTACGTTAAGATGATTCTATACTAACAGCACAGGTACTAGCCAAAAGCCCATACACGCGTGTTTCGCCGATATTCTACCGCTGCATGGCGCTGCTGCGAGGGGTTTGGCTTATCAGTGGGTCCCCCAGCACTCTCCCTCTGGTTTCTGGTAGATACTCCAATTTAGAAATTGTTGTTTTCTAATTTCCTTAGGAATTAACTGCGAACTTGGAGTAGATCAGTATACTTAAGGCCTATAGATTCACACCTAAGTTTTTATATATGAATATTTGGGCCGAAGTTCATCAGCCACGTCGGACAACCACGTAATATTCATTAACTGCCGACAGGCAGCTGGTAGTATACTTTAGGGTAAGGTGATTCCATGCCAACAGCACAGGCAATAGCCAAATGCCCATACACGCGCGTTTCATCGATATTCCGCCGCTGATCTACTCCAAGTTCTTAGTTAATTACTACGGATATTAAAAAGCAACAAGTTCTTTTCTGCCAAATGAGTCCAGAAAAAATATTTTCACTTATGTTTTCTGAAAAATACATAGACATTTGAAAGGGCGTTGAAACTGAATATAAAAACCTACTACTCCAGCAATCATCTTTGCCGAGTACGGTTTTCTGAAGACGGACAGAGAGAAGTTCATGTGAAATGCGACACTCTGGAATATTTTGGATTCATACCACACGATAAGCAATATTACAACCGCCTTGATCGAAAACGGATCTCAGAATTTAGACTAACATTTCATGCGAACAGCCCCTGAATGTAGGTGATCCCCCCCAGAGATGCGCGAAACTGAGGACTTACCACCCGAAAGACGAACCGACGATGCAACTCCAGTGTCCCTGAAAGATTTTCTCCATGCGCTTCTTCAACTTTTGCGCGATATCCTTCTCCAGCGTGTACTTGTTCAGAAGACGACGCAGTTTTTCCAGAGCACACTGCTCCTCCTTTTCCGGCAGATCGTCCTTCAGGACTTGCAGGCCATCCCAACAGCAGTTAGGTGGTAATACCTTCATGCTTTCAACCTTGGGCTTAGAAAAACTCTCGACGTTG